GGCCCAGCCGCAGGAAAGACTGGGCCTCCCTCTGAAATGTCGGCCAGCCTGGGTCCGGTGGTGCTATTTACCTTCCCAGGAGTAAAGCCACACCCGAGAGCGCCATGAAATGCGCCTGTGATCCGCTCTATTTCGGGCATGGAATGAGGCACCCGGTTTGGGCAGCTAGCAGAAATGGGCAAGGCACCAGGGAGCAGAGATCTTGGTTCCTCATCTGGGACCATCGGAGCTGCCCGGACCAGACAACACCTAGGAGGTAACCTGAGCTGCCCTGCAGGACTGGAAACCTCAACCTGGAAACCAGCTGCTGGAGTGGGGGAACCCCAGCCACCATAAACATCCCCTCTGCAAAGCCTCAGGAGCCTCAAGGAGGTTTTATTACCACTTTTACTATCAAGAGCTTGAAATTTCCCATATAGTCTGTTTTCTCTCTCAGAGCCCCCATGGGGTTCTTAGAAACAAAGGTATTTTAAAAACAGAAAAGAGTAAACCCTGGAAAATGCCTTACAGGACTCTAGGAAGACAGATTTCTTCCAGTTTTACAAATCCCTATAGGCTCACAGTGCCAAACACTACGAACTTTGAATACATGGAACTGTGGGACCCACCTAGTCAACAAACACGAAAAACTGGCCGCAATTTGCTTCTTTCTGAGTCCGAAGAGTTGTATATTCACTGTTACAAAAACATACATATGCTTGCACACTTTCCATTCTTCCTGGGGTCAGGCGTCTTTATTTTACTGAGGATGCAAGGGAGGCTCAAAAGTCGTACTTGCCCAAGATTCACTCCCTGACATAAATCCTTCACTGGACCCCTATTTTTCCTAATTTCCCAATTCAGAATATTAATAGCTCACAATTATTTGGTAAATAGAGGAGCAAACAGGCTCTAAAATGGTCTCCAATGAGCTCCATTTCCTGGTGTTCATTCCCTGTGTAATCCCTGCCCCAGGAGTGTGGATTGGCCTTGTGACCTCTCACAGCTAGAATGTGGCAACAGTGATGAGGACCCGATTCAGTGGTTAGGCTACAAAAGATGGTGACTTCTGTCTTGCTAGCAGACTTTCTCTCAAGGACTTTGATGAAACAAGCTGTCATGTAAGGAACTGAGGGGAGCCTCTGACCACCAGCCAGGAACCAAAGTATGCTTATAGCCACGAAAGTTGAGTTAGGAGTGATTCTTCCCCCAGGGGAGCCTTGACATGCCACTTCAGCCCTGGATGACAATTTGCAGCCTGTGAGAGACCCTGACGCACAGGACCCAACTAAGTCAGAGCCCAGATTCTGGAGCCACAGAATGGAGGAAGAATTCATGTATATGTGCTGTTGTTCAGTTATCATGCTTTAGGATGATTTATTATGTAATAGGTAACTGATAGAGCTAGACAGTGTGTTAAAGAAACTAAGACTTGGAGGGGCTTTAAAAAAATACCAGTAATTAATGTATGGCTGGTAAGTATCAAAACTGAGATTTGAACCAGTTCCATCTGATCTCTAAACCTCTGCTCTTAATCACTAAATTATATTGCTATGAGGCTCTTTGCAAAGTAGCTCTAGTCTACCTCTTGAACTTTATTGCCTGCCACGGCCACCCTTCAGCTGAGAATTGAGTTCTTAAATGCAACATCCAATTTTATGATTTAGAACATCTTTGCATGCTACTTACAATGAGATTTCCCAGTCAGTCTTAAATCAACACCCACTTCAAGACTTGAATCAAAACCTCCTCCTTTAGGAAGCATTCCTGAAAGTCACACTCTGATTTCGAAGTACCCTCTTGCTTCCAAGTGTCTTGTGTGTGCTATGATCATACTATCACATGTATCTCTTATAATCCATGATCTTCACAGGCCTCCTTCCCCCCATCCCCTACTTGGCTCATTAGAAGTTTAAGAAATGTTCATTGAATGAGAGAAGGCAAAGGAGTCAGCCCAGGACTGGGACCCATGTCTGTTGGCTCAAAATGCAACATTCTTTCCCCTACACCACACTTCCTGCTAATCTGACCTGACTCTTGTAATCCTCTTTACCAGGCTGCCTAGCAACTCACCTACCACTGTTTTCCAGCATTTTCATTCATTCATTCATCCATTCAAGAACTCTGTCCTGCAAGTATACTAGGACAAACACAACTCTAAGAAATGAAGGAGTAGAAGATGGAGCCCCTGACTTAAAAAGCTCATGATCTGTTGAGAAAGCAATCTTATTTCCCCATCTGCATAAAGTGGCTGAATTTCTCCTTGAAATGTGAGACTTTGGGTCAGCTGTACTTAAGCAGACATTCCTTGGAACTTTTATTCTAATATTATTTTTAAAGGACTCTATGACCCCAAAAGTGTGTTTTTTTCTTTTAAACTGTCACTTTGTGTCTGAGGGAAAAGAAAAAAGCCGTCATGGCTATTTCACTGGTCAAAGTAAATACTGAAGAAATCATTCTCTTGTGTCCACAGCTCCCTTTACAGGAGTAGAATTTCCATGGCATGCCAGACTGGCTGAAGAGGCAGAGGCCCCTTTCAAGCTGGAGGTGATAGAAGATCTCTACACAAGTTTTAGCCCTCTTAGATTGGGTGCTCACAGTAGAGCTGAGCATTGCTTGAGAAATAAATTTATTAAGTGCAGGATTTTCCATCAAGCCAGGGATGGTGCCAGATACCTTGCCAATAGGCCTCAGTGACTGTCTCTGCCGTTACTTTGTGTGTGTGCGTGTGGCTGTATTTCTGTTATAAAGACCAAGACCAAGAATGATGGCACGTCTTGTTATTTTTAATCAAGAGAATGCAAACACTTTTGCTCCACAGCATGGTAAATAGACATTGGTATTCAAGAGCAAGTTCTATGTATAGCACTGACTGGTGTTGGTATGTTTATATTGGAGGTGGGCAGAAAATGCCCCAGTTCTTGTGACACACAGTGATTCTTTGCAGACCTTTACCATCCATTAAATTCTAGAGTGGGTGTGCTGGCATGTAGAAAAAAATAGACTTGAGAAAATTAGCATGCCCTCATGGACTCAGGCTTAATTGAAATTATGTTAGGTCTAAGAAAAACCATGGAATGAGGAAAGTATTTTAAATAAATCATGCAATATGAAAAGGCCCTGAGCCTTTTGATGTTTTGATTTAAGTCCCTACAGATGCAAGTTTACCAGGACATCGTTAAGCACAGAGAAGGCTGGTGTAACATATTCCAGCAGATGCTTTTCTAACAGCTGTGCCCTTTTTATTCCTTGGTTTTGGAAGCCCCACATTGTCCACCTAAAAGTGCAATAAGCCCTGGCTTGGTAGGTCCTTTTCTCTGGCTCGGCAGATGAACTAAGATTGCACAAAGATTGAACATATATCATGAGAATACCTTTTGCTTTGACTGCCCATATAGCTCAGTTCTGACCAAGAGGCAGAAAGAAAAGTTTGCTTGTTGGAGCATGCAGTACAGGGGCTACTGGGAAAGATTTTCCTTCCCGGTTAACAGACGAATTAACGTCTCTTCCTTCTTGCCTATGGTAGGGCCAGGTGAAGCTGTGCTGTTTGGATCTGTATTAATAATAGCTAGTTCTAAGCATCCAACCACAAAAGCCAAGCCTAAGGACAAAAACAATCTTAGTGTGGGTGACAAAGCTATGGTTTGACTATGTCTCCCAGAAACCTCATGTGTAGGAATTTGACTGTCCTGCCTATATTGTAAAGAGAGTAAGTGAAAACGGAATCTTTTCAGTGTCCCAGGGTGGAGAATTCATCACGGAGAGAACACTCTCATGAATAGGTTAGTGACGTCCCATGAGACCGAGCAAGCTTTAGCCCTCATGAGAAGGAACTGCTTCTTCCAGAGCTGGTCGCTATAAAAGAGAGATGCTTGTTCTCACTCTGCACGAACTGGCCACTCTCTGTGCTTCTGTCGGTCATGCTGTAGGCCTAAGCCTTTGGACTTTCCAGCCACCAAAATCATGACTTTTCTAAATAAACCTCCATCTTCTTTATAAAAATCACTCAGGCGCAGGTATTTCTACTAGCAATGCGAACACAGACTAAGACGGACAGGAAGAGCTTGGGTCCTAGATGATGTCACTGGATCACTTACTTAACTAGTTCTAGCAATATCTACCTCCACTGCCTTATTTTGTACAAAGTGGAAGACTTTGTACAAGACTTTGTACAAAATAAGGCATCTCAAGCCAGGGGTGGTCCCAGACACCTTGCCAACAGACCTCAGCAACTGTCTCTGTAGTTACATTTGTGTGTGATGTGTGTGGCTTTATTTCTGTTATAAACAGCAAGACCAAGAGTGATGGCACTTCGTGTTGTTTTTAATCAAGAGAATGCAAACACTACTACACTGCAATAGTAATCTCCATTCAAGCTACTTTTAGTCAATTATTCTGTTATTTTGGAGCCCAAAACTTCCCAGCTAGTCAATAGGTAAATATTTTAGTAAGCCACTAGAGTCATTTGTTTACTAAAACTGTTACAATCATAGGATTTTTTTTTAATATAGAAAATTAGAAATTCTTCCAACTTTCCAAGCCTATTGAGTTTCTCAAATATTCTCAGGTAACATCTACTGAATTCTAACATCTCTAGTTACATGGTTGATATCTCTATCAATAAATAAATTTATCTGCACCTAGATTTCCTGCTGGTCTTAGAAGGAGAGAGACCTTCCCTGACTACTGGACTCAAGACCTCATTTCGGGACCAGCAGATGATGTAATGGTTATGTCGCTGGACTCCCATGTAGTCGACTGCGGTTCGAGTCCTGGACCCAGTGGCTTAAACTCACACTGGGTGCGTGTGTGCCTAAGATCCCAAGAGGAGAATGGAGAAGGGATTGCGGCATGGCCGCAATCACACGCCCCTGGGGTGTGTGATTTCTCACTTTCTGTCTCTCTGTCTCTCTCTGTCTCTCTGGTGAGTGCACATGCCCTATGGCAAAAACCTCTCCCCCCCTAAAAAGACCTCATTTCATATCCTCCTGACCCTGAACTGTCAGTTATCCCTGTCATCTCCCATATTTTCAATCCCTTCCCCTCTGCCGCTAACTATATCCCAATATTACCCATAAAAGTAAAAGAAAAGACAAAGAAAAATTTCCCAACCTCCTTGTTGCCTTAGTTCTATTTTTCTTACTTCCAAGGACCTCCACTGAAGGAATTTCTACTTGTTACCAGCTCTGCTTCAAGTCACTGGGGGGGAAAAAAAAAAAACAACTTTCGACCTCCATCACAGAAC